GTACTGTGATACAGGATTTTATCTATGTTGCCAATCCCAGGTTGCATGAATCTATATTCTTGCATTTTCATGGGTCTTGTAACGTTCCACGGACTACAGATATTTATTGTTTTATGGCTCCAGTAAGCTGTTGTCAATGGGCCCAGAATATCTCCTCATGTGCGTACTGTACCCTCTCTCAATTATATCACTTGAGCTAATTTACACCAGTATTCTCACATACAGCTTTTTACGATTACTGTTAGTGGCTTATATGAACATTTGGTGCTCAAACAAGTACTACTAATTTACAATCTGTACAAGTACTGCCCTGTGGAGTTGGACTCCGCTGTTTCATTCTGCTCACTCACTGAATGTACTGAAATGATTAACTGCACTGTTTCACATCAAATGATTGCTTTCTATATGTAATGTCAGATTATTCTTTTTCTTTGAAATATTAGAAAAGAAAACGTGTACATTTTCAGATTGGACTCGGTGGTCTTGACTGTGGCTCTATGATTTAAAGTATCACTTTACTGTTGTTGATACTTGGTGGTAGGGGCTCAGTCACTTCTTGGATTTCATCCTCTCCCTATTGTGCTGTGTTTATTAGATTTTTCGAAGTGCGAAGTTGTCAGACTAGAGTAGTAGCACCTTAAATAAGCTTAGGCCAACATCCTTATGCTTAAAACATGCAAATAAAGAGGATAAGCAGAGACTCTGACAATGTTCACTCTGCATAGCTGACACTCTAATTAGATAGCAAGGCAGGGGATTATACAAGTAAACAGAGGGAGAGATACCAAATCTAACACGAATGGCTACATGTGACACTAACAACTGATATTAGCGGAGAGAGACTCACAGCCTTGATTAACTGCACATATTAAACTAAGGAAAATTTTTACAAATCCTCATGACTGTGGGGGCAAATTGGAGTGTCTGGTAAACAAGTTGCCACCTTCTTTTATGTCCCTATGAAATCAAAGAGGAGCTACTGCATTCATCCTCTGACAGACCACGGCTCATCACTTCCACAGTGTAAATCTGAAGTTATTTTGGTGTGCTGTAAAGTCAGAGAGGTTATGTATTCATTTATTTATGGAGTGATCTGTGTTGGTGCTTTCAATATTAAATTTACTGTAAACACAGAGATTAGAGTTTAAAAACAGAGCGACAAAGATCTCACCAGAGTCTATATATCACCTCCATCGTCTTCAGTCCCTTGTCATCTCGCTCCCTCTCCATTTTGTTCCTCCTCACAGTGCAGTGCTGCATTGTATGCAGGGCACCACAGCAAGCTGATTTGGCACTGCTGAGCTGTTTCAACATGTTTTCTACTGGTATTGATTCCTTGAAAAATGAGTGCCGCATTGTTTGCAAAGATTTGATTAATATGTTCTTCCATTTTGCTCGGAAGAAGAGACACAGCATGTTCTTTCTCGTATACCTTCAAAATGATGGCAAACTGGTTAGCAGATCAGACACACACATTGTGATGAAAACAAAAAGCCTTAGCAGTCTCACAAGCATTTTAATGACACTGGCCCTACGATTTGCAGCAATTTGTTCCCCAGGCATTGTTACATTTAGTAATTCACAACAAATAAGATAAAATTAAGGTTGATTTACGTACTAACAACAGCGTGAACAGCAGACCAAACTGTTAAACATGTTTTAACCTCAGCTACACAATCTTGGCAGTGTCTCACTTTGCACTGGCCATTGCACTAAATTATGCTGTAATTATTCAGGTAAAAAATGGCCACTGACACCCCACACACCCATTGGTCCTTCAGACGGAGGTAAGGAGGGGAGGGAGTGTGTTGATAGATGAGCTGGATCTCCCCCCGGTGCGCCGTGAGGAGATGACATTCCCGGGCAGCGCCGGCCTTGCATCCTGGCTTCCTTCTTCTGGATGATGAGACTTTTGTAGGGAGGAGTCTGCAGGCTTCATTTACCGAAGCAGCAGGGAATAATATAGTGCCAGCGTTTGGATGTGTCAGGTCCCATATCTCTGGCTGTTCTATTAGAAACAGACCCCAGTGCGGGACAATTAACCCCTGGCCTCAGCAGCAGATCTGTGCAGTAACAGCCCAGCACGGGACAATAAATCAAATCTTGAGGGAGAAACCCACACTCCCTCCCCTGCTGGTTGGCTGCTACCATCGTCCATTGGACCGAGCTTACAGGATGGTAGATACGCTCTGGTGTTATTGTATAATCACTGAAGGTGTGCGAGTGATGCAATAGGTTGGCTGTGGGCAAGGGCACCCTGAGTGTGTTTGTGCTGCAGTGCATACTCCATCTGGAGAGAGTTCAACACCTTGGACCAACTGGAACACTTTAAACCAAAGAGCAACAACTTGGCACATCTTCTTCGTTATCTCATGCTGCTTTCTGGCAAGGCAAAAATAGTTTTCCTATACAGAATGGCATGGTATAAGGTTTTGTTTACCTTGATGACGTGCTGGAGGTTTTCTGGGCGTTACAAAGCACAGCAAGAGTCTATCGTCTGCAGCTCTTTATCTAAGGTAGCTCAGTGTGACTGTTTTTTCTTCTGCTGTGTCTTCCTGTAATATTTAACAAATTCACCATATAGAGCCTTGTATTTCCATAACTTCCAATTTATATTGAATAGCAGCACTGCTAATAAAGTTCCACAAATTCAGTATTAAAGTACATTGAATTTTCTGTAGCTGCTTCACCATAAAAGCCTCCGACCAGTTCAGTGTAAAACTAATATCAAACAGGAGTGGGAAGAGTTCAGTTTGCATTAGCAGTAACTTAACACAGCTCTAATACTGCTGAAGGAAAGTGAGAAACACTAAAATAAGCCAGGTATGTAGGAAGGGAAAACAAACTTCAAACCACAGACATTCAGTTACTCTAGTCGGCCACACTGAGCCAATGCATGTTTGTTTTTGGGAATGAAATCACTGTTTGGCCTTTGTTTTCCCTGGTACCAAGCTCCCAATGCTGCAGGTCAGTGCAATGATCCCCTACAGTCAAAGCACATGTATTATTGGCTTGATGCAGTACAGTGCATTTAAAGAATGCTGAATGGAGCATGAGAAACAACGGACAAATAGGAGAGCTGGGTTGCACCTCAGTACTTTTTGAGTAGCAACCAAAATGTGTTTGTATAATAAAGAACTGTCAAATTCCAAAGGTTGGCATCGAATGCTTGGTCTGTTGCCAATTCTTTAATCAGATATTTTCTCATTCAAATCAGAAAAAAGGGAAATTTTAATCTTTAATTTATTTATCTTTTTCATGGTTGCTTTTATCAAGGACAACTTCAAACAGCGATGCATTGAAAACATTTTTATTTAGTTTTTGTAAAATGGGGTTTGCAGAAAGACATTTTATATTATTATTATTTTTTTTTAATTTATTTTATACATATTTGTATTGGTGCCAAAACCCAGATATAGTATTGGGACTGAAAAACAGTACCCAGCCCAATCAGAGTCTTTCTTGTGACCTCCATTTTATTTTTGCCTGTGACATACCAAACCAGTCCAACAATAGCTATAAGCTGTTAATGACTAGAATCTGTGGCTGTCTTATGCATTGGTAGTAAAAAAGAGAGTAATGAATCCTCACTACAGTGAGGCTGGCATTTTTGTCTGCAGCCTGTCATATTGAGACCATTTGTTTAATGGCAGATTAGAGAAAAGAATGAGCAGCGATAAAGCGGTAGACCACAGGGGTCACCTTCAGGACCTGCTCATGGTTATTCCTATCATTAGCATGTCGCATCTCGTGCTGTCCGGCTCCAATTATCACTGACACAGGCTCTGGTCTTATGACTGGGCTGTTCAAACTGCCCACTGTTAGACTGTAATTCTCGCACTGACGGACTAATGTGAAATATGGCAACAGATGCAGAGAGCAACGACTGAAGCACATTATTCAGGACCCAAGGGCCATTAAAGCCATAGCTATTAAATATAATTTGAAAAAATTAGCTTTTTGGCGCATGCAATAGCAGGTTGTGAGGTATTATGATAATCACTACAATCCCAAGGGTGCTCGCTTTCCCCAAATGTTATTACTATTTGTATGCTTTTGTGAATGGGTTTCGGGATATGTAGTCTTGTTTGTGAATGCTTTATGGGAGGGGTAATTCTCCTCAGGTGCAGAGGCAAACATTGCTTTTGCCAGGGTTTGTGTCCTTTTGTATGAGTCTGAAGTAATTATAGCTCATTGCTTGATTTGTTGTCGGTCTGAGTGAATTTCCGCACATGTGAACACATTTCATTTAGTAATTTGAACACAGAAACCCAAGTGTATGACATTGGATAGTGCGTTTTAACCATTGAAATCTAGCTGGAGGCCACAGGTAGTGTTGATAGTTGGCGATTGCACTGTTGAAAGCGGTTGGCCTATTGTAGCTCCTGAGTGCTGATTATGTTGAGTCTGCAATCCTACTTTTCAAACTGGAGATTCAGCATTTGGTTCAGACAGTCTGTTGTAAATTGATTGCAGTATTTTTTTCTATGGTCACTTGAAAAAACAAACAAAAAAACTGCCAGAAACGAGAGGGCTTCAAGTTGTCAGTTTATCAGTTGCATAATTAATCTACAGTATAAATTTATTATAGTAAGAGGCTTTTGTGCCACAGCTGAGCAGCATCTGATATGTGTAAAACTGTGGTTGTAGCAGCGTTGCAGGGCCTGGTTGGCTTAGTTGTGGTGAGATGTTATAACTTTGATCTGAAAGGGTAGAGAATGAAGACATCTTGGTTGAAGGATTTTCCTTCCAGTTTACACATGAGGCAGAATTTCAAAAGAAATAAAAACCAACTTTTCATTCACCAAAATCACCACAAAATGTTGAATGTTGAATCAAATAAAAATAATTGTTAGCTGCAGCCCTAGTTGAGTACTGTGGGTCTTTCCCTTCCTTAATGTGTCTCAGCCATCTAAATCCACCTCTTTATAACTAAACCGTAAACCCTCAAATGTTGTTTCTATAAATTTCATTGTTTTCATTTTTCACCTTTTTTTCAGCGGCAGGATGCACTTTCGAAGAGGATTCAGACCCCAATCTGTGTGAATTCACTCAGGGGGAAGAGGATGACTTTGATTGGCTGCTGTTTCGGACGTACAGTTCACCTTACGCCAGTTCCGATCTCCTGCGGGGTGAGTGGTCCTCTCTCCTACAGTTCTGTACTTCTGTACTTTAGTTAGTCAACCTACACTAAAACACAGCAGGTTCATGACAAGACTAGAAGCTATTTTTTGAAATGTGCCAGCAGTTGGTTTGTGCTTCTGTTTCTTTTTAAATTGTTTTTAATTCTGAGAAATAAATTGACTTTTGTTTGTACCAGTGTGGCTGGCATATCAGAAAAGTGCGACTGTGTGCAAATAAGCCTTTATAGATGTCCAGCGTCCATTATGCATCAGCTTTAATGAAGCACTCACCCCCAGTTTTGTCTGCTTCCCGCTAACCCCAAGGATAATTTTATGTTAACCAGCCTCACAGGACTAATGGAAACCAGCATTTTCCTGCCATCATCCTCTCTACTGGTGGTTGCCAGAGGGAGATGGCATGCATAGTTTATAAGGCGCTCCTCCATCTCTGCATTAACAAATACCTACAGGGATCTGACAAAGAGAAGAGTGCTGTTTCAGCTTCTCAGCAGAATATCAGTGGCAGCAGTGGGCTCTCTGCTGAAGTACTTCTGCTGTGGTAACTTGCAATATGATTAAGGAACCGACCATCCCTCGGGTATAACCAATCAATCCATCATATGGTAATGAGAATTTGACCAATCCATGAGAAAAACATGCATTTCATGTTCATTGTACATTAGAGGGAGAGAAAAAAATCTACATGTTCAATGGCAGCAGCAATTATTCAAGCCTGGAAGAATGGACTGACATTATTTCACTGCAGAAGAGACCGCTAATGTGGGAGATATAGAGATAGATAAGCCAAGAGGAACATATGTAAAGATAACAAGATAGGATACAATCAGATACTGCAGATAATTTAAAAAGGAATAATTGTAGGCTGCAGGGAATACTCCATCCTTTTGAGAAAACATCAACTTGAGTAGCCTTTGAAGATGGTCAGAAAATCCTCCAGGGATAAATTGTGTCATTTTTAAAAGCTGCGTAGTTGTGATATTTATTTATAGGACTAAACCTTCCTGTCCGCAGGCATCCATCCAAATAGAATTCTGACATGATAAATCCCAAATTTTATCCTAAACTCTTAAACTGCACCTCATTCACCTCCACATCATCAGCATTCGAGTGAGAATCCGCTCGCAGCCACCAGTCGATTCACGGCAGGCGATGGGATAATTAATACTTTTCCCTTTGGGTTTAATTAAAACTTACTGCCATGACATTTAAAGTGTTCTGGGGCCCTCAGTGGAACAGACTAGCACAGGTGGAATGAAGGAGGTACAGTAATCTTCACATGACGAGACGGCATGAGAGACTCCAAGAATCAACTCTCGATCGATCAGCTCTGAGAACCAGGAGACAAATCCAGTAATTTGTTATCCACTCATCCTTCAGCCCGCACTAGAAGCAGCGTATTACTAATGTTTTTCGTCTGATTGGTGTCATTTTATAGTGACAGCAGTGTTCCTTCGTTAGTTTCACCATGACATTTTCAGGGTCTTATTTTAGGTGGATAACCTTACTGCAGATACTGGCACAGGAAATGTTTTCCTCTTTTTTTCCCCTTCTCTCTGACTTAATCCCCCTGTGTTGACTTCCAGCCATGTATCACATTGGGCAGCCAAGGTGGGGGGATAACAAGAGTTTATGAGATAAGGCTATTTACATTGGACCAGTATTAACTTTGTGGGGCTGAGAAACTGGTGTCAAGGGAAGATTAGTAAACACAGCTGAGATAGCAGCAGCTTGTGGCTCCCAGGAGAAATTAGAGACTACGGTTCCCATGAAAGAGAAAATGGTTTTGCAAAAAAAAAAAAAAAAGAAGATTGAATGCAGTGGGATCTTAATAAGAATGTCCCATTTTTTATCATGGTCTCCTTTATTTTGAATTAGATCGGAGATGTCTGGTTGCTATTGATAATCTTGAGTTCTCTTGCTGTTTTAATGAACAAGTCAGGCTTGCAGGATGATGACCTTGTAAAGAAGAATGTGTCTGCATGTCAAGCGTACCTCATATTCTGAAATGGAGATTCATCAGTTTGAAAAGTTATGGTTCTGCTGCCATATCCATTATAGTGTATGAGGGTGGCCTTAAGGAAAGGAATCTATTAAAGATTTGAACAAGCTTAAAAACAGCTTATGGCAATGTAGTTTTCTAATTCTTAGGGGTCAAACGTGGGACATGATGTCCAGACTTCTTCAGGTCTTACACATCAACAGTAAACATCAGGTTCTTCTCAGCCTAACACAGGCAAACAGGCATCTTTAAGATAACTCCAGTGACACCATCTTCATAATATTATTGTAATTTGAACCACTGGAGACCACAGACTAACACTAATACATTTATCTGTATTTTTGACTGGAATAAAAGGACCAATGTGTTGATAGCTGTCTTCGCTAACATGCAGTAGGGAGAACTCCTTTAATTGTCAGTGTAATACCCCTTTCTTACCAAAGAGTTTGTGCACTAAGGAGCCACAGGAACAAGAATCGGGAACTAAAAGCCAATTTTGGGCATTCCTGTTTGTGTTTTCAGTGAACTGTGAAGATATTAGGCAAGTTAGTCTGATGACAGATGACAGAATGAGATCTTTTTGTGAGAGTTACACAATTTTTGCACACAAAGAGATGAGGCGTATATGTAAGAGGTCTGAGAGGCTCTGGATTCTACCCTCCATGCGAGATGTTCGTTCTTGTGGAAGTGCCACTGAGCACACAAACCTCCCTGAGTTGTCCACCTCAGCAGCCATACAAACAGAGTCTCTTGGATGTGCAGAAATTGGGGCTTTAGTTTCCAGCTGAGTCATACAGAAATTCTCTGACAGAACTGAAATAGAGAGTTGAAATATGCTACTGCTTTTTTTTTCTCACCATGTGTTGCATGCTAATCTTGCAAATCCCCCTCTCTTCCTATCTTTTCTTGAAAATGTCTCCTGTGCTGTCCAGTGGCACACATACAGTGAAGGTAAGTTTTAAAAATAGGCTCTGCTGCAGGCTAGAATCCTGCTCTATCTGTGTATTTGTAGATCACATTGCAACAAGCTACGAAGTCAATTGATTGGTTGTTTTATGAGCTACTAGCACAATAGATCCTTAAATAAATGCCCACAGACATTTTGAATGGTCTCTAATGTTGGATGGGAAGTCAGGTCTAAGGAAGGTTACGACTTACATGAAGCATGGCTTTGAGCATTGTCGCAGGGTCAGAGCCTGGTCAATCGACACTGTTGCGGCAAGCTCAATGTAATGACCTTAACAGAGCTAATTCACGCAGTGAAACACACAGACAGTCCTCCATCTGTATCTCCTGCATCCTCTACCATGGAGGGCAATGTCATATCTCCTAGCCTTTACTATCTGTCACCTCTCACCCCTGCCTGGCCCCAGGCGCACACCACAAACCAGCTGCACATGAGTGCGTGTGTGTCATTGACAGCGACCTGAGATTCATCCGCGTCTGTGAAAGGATGAGGCAGAGCGAGGAGACAGATACATCTGCTGTATGAGACATGTTGTTATCAGGGCTGACCAGCCATCCTCACTGGTTTAATACCCTATTACACTGCCCTCCTTCCCCTGATATCTATATATCTCTCTATCTCTCTATCTATATATATATATATATATATATATAAATATAATGTAATATATCAAGGGTCTCCATTTATTGTAGATTAAAAATTCTAAAAAAGTTAGTTTTGCTCTTAAAACTGCATTTTTACACAGATAATATACCTAAAGCTCGTATTTGCTGCTTGACTTGTAGGGTAAAATGGTTGCAGGAGATATCTGCAGGTACTCTATTTTATTTTAGGAGAGGGCAAGTGCTATTTAATAAAGTCTTTTTGTATTGAATTAAACAACATTAATGTATTGACTTGCTAAGATGGTAGCAGTACAAAAATGTTTAATTATATGTAATTGTATGTCACTGTATATTTTCTGACCAATATCTTGCAATTTAAATTGTTTATTGTCTACAAATTAAACTACAGGCCTGTATTTGGGGATTTATTTAGTATGAATCTATTTGTAATGGAATAAACACCACGTGAGCTGATCGGACATTAAGCAAGTCCTCCTACATGACTTTGAACGAGACTGAACCAGAGCACGTTTAATGGTGTTGGCAGGTCCTGTGGGGCCTTCTCATGAAAGGGACCCAATGCAAATCTAGCAGGATTTGGGGGCGTAGAACACAGACATTGCCTGGAGCAGGCGGTAATAGTCAGAAATCCAATGGGAGTAGGGTTGAGAAAACAGTCCCGTGCAGGGCTCTGCAGTCCACTGCTCTGCACCAAACCCAGAAAAGTATTGTAATGGTTGATGTCTAGTCTAAATGTTGCCATACATCCTTAGCAATCAGAATATTATATAATATGTTATAAGGAGTTCGGTCTAGACCTGCTCTATTTGAAATGTGTCCTAAGATAACTTCTGTTATGAATTGGTGCTATACAAATAAAATTGAATTGAATTGAATTGAATTGAATATTGATTAAAATACTTTATTATATGTTAAATAACGAACGCTCTACTGGAGTCTACTTTAGATGATGTGGACCACTGTCTTGTGTTTTTATTTTTTCGTTTGTACAGCACTTTGTAACATTATTAAGAAAAGTGCTATTATTACTATTATTATTATTATTATTATTATTATAGAAATTCAGTCAATAAGTAGCCAATAATAGCCAAAAGATTCAGTTTATGAATTTTGGGAGTCAGATGACAATAATCATAGATGTAGACATCTTAGAAATGTTGTTTTCATTGAAATAGATTGGGGAATGAATGTTACCATGACCAATTGACAGTATGAGCTGCTTTAAAACAAAAAGAGTTGTTTCTTCCTTCATAAAACAATCTTTGACCAAAAATGTGGAGACCACAGACTGCAGAAACATTTCAATCAGTTGTTTCTTCAACTCACAGAATTAATTAGCTGCAGCTGAGTATATCTAGCACGTAGCAATAATTATCTAAGTTATAATTAAAATTGC